ACCAGGCTGAGGGGGAGCAGGGAGCAGTCCCAGACCAGGCTGAGGGGTGCAGGAAACAGTGCCGGACCAGGCCGAGGGGACATCTGTAAATGAGATGGTTCTGATGGGACTGTCCTTGTTTGGCTCCTCAGCTGCTGCTGGAGAAGTTCACCGAGTTTGCCCACGAGACTGGGGTGATTGGGCAGGAGCGGGTGAACGCAGTCAACCAGATGATCGATGAGCTGATTGACTACGGCCACATGGACGCAGCCACCATTGCAGAGTGGAAGGATGGTGTCAGCGAGGCCTGGGCAGAATTGTTGGAACTGATCGAGACCCGAGCCCAGATGCTGTCAGCCTCACAGGAGCTGCACAAGTTCTTCAGCGACTGCAAGGAGGTGGCCGGGCACATCGAGGAGAAACACAAACAGCTTCCGGAAGTTTCCATCGGAGATTCCAGCAGCACCTTCACTCTGCAGAGGATGCTGAGTTCATTTGAGCATGACATTCAGGTTCTGGTCACACAGGTACTGGCTCAGTTAGCTTCTAATATTCCAAGCTCTTCGTCTATCGTTCATAGAAAAGACCAAATTGTTTGTTCCAATGTTAGCAAGGGAGTGAGACCTTGGTGTGCTGCTTGCCATCGTTTCATCTCACCTTTGCATTCAGCATGCTGCAACCTTTGGTACCGAGTTTGACAGTTTTGGATCATCCGCTTCTATTAAATTTCTGTCTTTTACTCTTGCTGTTGGGTTTTGACTCTTTTCTTTTTGACCTTTATTCCCTAACACTGTTTTTAAGCACCTGCTAGGCAGCCATTCACATCTCTTACAAACGTGCGTCACAATTAAAAACATAAGAATTGGCAGAAGGCCATTCGGCCCCAAGGGCTAGCTTTGCCATTCAGTAAGATGATGATTGTGACCTCTAACCTGCTTTCTTGCGGACTGCCCAATAACCCTTGACCCCTGTTGTTAGTCAAGAATCTATCCACTTCCTAATAGTTTGAGTGAACCGTCCCCCCCACTCCTTTGTGTGGAAGAGAATTCCAGAGAATTCCAATGACCCTCGGAGGGAAAACTAATTCTCCTCATCTGTGTGTTAAATGGACACATCATTTGTTTCTTTACTTTGCCCATTGCCATTTGCTTTGGCTTTTGTAACATGAAAACTTTCACCCTTTAACGTCTCCTGCTCTCCATCCTCTCACAGACCATTCCTTTTGCTTTCTCTCTCTTTTTTTCTCTGTGACCACTTGGTTCCGATTGCCCTTGTGTCTCCCCTCGTTCCTGTGGCCTAAAACATTGGGCAGAATCTTGTTGTGGGGTCAGGGGTCACAGAGAGCCAGTGAAAAGACCCTCGGGAGGACCCTCTCCAAGCATATTGCAATCAGGCAGTGGTGAGGCCTTCCCCTGGAACCAAGACCCCTCCCCCACCCCTTCACTGGGGTCCTGGCCAATCAGAGGCTTGCGCTCAGTGGCACCACGGAGGAGGTGGTGGCTGCCCCAGGAAGTGCGGGCCTGGAGTCCCAGGGATCGTGGAGGACCCAGGGCACACGTGAGAGGGGATGGGGTTGGTTTTCTTGCGTTGACGGTTTCAGGGAGATGGGGCCCCAGCAGGCACTCACCTGCCTGAAGTTGACCAGACAAGAAATGTCTTCGATCGAGACCCCCTCACCACATCCTGAAGCCCTCCTGAGGTGACTGGCTGCTCACAGGGTACATCACACAGTAATAAACCCACCTGCCTTTAGGTTAACCCCAGTAGCAAGGGTCTCAGACACTGTAGTGGTTTTTAATTGGCCATGCCGTAGGATAGTGGGATGCGGAGAGCAGGATTTGGTGCCTTTCCTTTCCCTCTCTGCAATCACTCAGCCTCATTGTTAAGGGATTTGCTGCAGCTTTATGAACAGGTTGTCACTATTTTGAACAATTAGGAGCAATCCCATCATTAGTTGCCCTTGAGAAGGCAGTGGTGTGCCACCTCCTTGAAGTACTACAGTCTGTGGGGAAGCAGGGAGACCCCCCAAGCCCCCAGTACCGTTGGGGACCAGGATTTTGACCCAATGACATTGAAGGAGCGGCAATATAGTTATGGGTCAGAATGATGTGTGGTTGGAAGGGAACCTGGAGGGGGTGGTATTCCCGTGTATCTGCTGCCCTTGTCCTTCTGGATGGTAATGCTGCCGAGTGTGGAAGGCGAATGTTTTTATTGACAACACGCAAAAATATTTTACCTTTTCTCTCTCTCCTAGACTGTTGTTCAATGCTCAATCTAACCTATTGACTGTCCTCGGTTACCAGGTGAGACAGCTACAAGAAAACGCTGCCCAGTTGCGGACGGTGTACGCTGGTGAGAATGCAGAAGCCATCCTTGTCCAGGAGCAGGGTGTCATGCAGGCTTGGAAGGAGCTATTGAGCAGCTGTGACCAGCGGAGGCTTCAGCTTACCACGACCAGCGACAAAATCCGCTTCTTCAGCATGGTCCGTGACCTGGTCAGCTGGATGGACAGTATCATCTGTCAGATCGGGACGGGAGAGAAACCTCGGTATGTAGCAGAGTGCAGCCCTGTTAGCCTTCAGCATCTAGCCTGAGCACTGTGTTAGGTGTAGCAGATGGTGTGCTTGTTTTATTCTTGTGTTGTTGCTGCCAGTCTACAGCAAGTGCAAAGAGCTTGGAATGCAGGACAGCCTCGCAGTGAGTGTAAGAGATTGCCCTTCCCATACAACTTGCTGGCTTTCTGCATCTTGGCTACTGAGCCAGGCCTGGTAACAGCACCTAATGCTTGCAGATGTTGTAGTCCAGCCACAGTGGCTTCATATTTTCTGCCACCTTTTAGCAGTGCATTGATGTCTTTTTCGTTTTTTTTGGCCTTACTCCCCCCAAGAGGTCGTTTTGGAAAGTTTTAATGGGAATTGAAGCCATGTCTCGCTCTGTTATTTGCTCAGACAGCTCAGCCCCCTCTTGTGCTGTAATTGACCCTACAGTATTCTAAAACTCACATCTTGTGTCATCCGCAACAGCATCTAACCTCCAGATCACTTTGATTGGCACTCTGCTAAGTTCCACAACCCATTTATGAGTGTTGCTTAGAGATTTACTTGGAGTCAGTGCCTCAGATCTCAATGTCCTTCTGAACATTTAAAACAGAAAACTAGAAACATGGGAAACAGATTGAGAGCGTGGAGCCCAGCAATAAGGATCATTCCATTTGGCAATGGGGGCAGTGCTATTCCCTAGACAGTGCTTTTTATTCTTTTCCAGATCTGAATTGCATCAAATTATTTGAACTGTTCCTTTTTCGAAGAAGTCCCCAGTTTCTGGTCTTTTACTATAATGATCCAAAGTGAAGAGATCAGGGTTTTATAGAACATAGAACAGTACAGCACAGTGCAGGCCCTTCGGCCCCACAACGTTGTGCCGACCTATTATCCTACTAAGATCAATCTACCCTGCATACCCTACATTTTACTATCCTCCATGTGCCTATCCAAGAGTCGCTTAACAGTCTCTAAATTATCTGACTCCACTACCACTGCCGGCAGCGCATTCCATACACCCATCACTCTCTGTGTGAAGAACCTAACTCTGACATCTTCCCTATACCTTCCTCCAGTCACCTTCAAATTATGCCCTCTTGTAATAGTCATTTCCACCCTGGGAAAAAGTCTCTGACTATCCACTGTATCTATGGCTCTCATCGCCTTGTATACCTCTATCAAGTCACCTCTCATCCTTCTTTGCTCCAATGAAAAAAGCCCCAGCTCCCTCAACCTTTCCTCATAAGACTTGCCCTCCAGTCCAGGCAGCATCCTGGTAAATCTCCTCTGCACCCTCTCTAAAGCTTCCACATCCTTCCTATAATGAGGTGACCAGGACTGAACACAATATTCCAAGTGTGGTCTAACCAGGGTTCTGTAGAGCTGCAGCATAACCTTGCGGCTCTTAAACTCAATTGCCATGCCAATGAAAGCCAACACACCAAACGCCTTCTTTACAACCCTATCAACTTGTGTAGCAACTTTGAGTGATCTATGGATGTGGACCCCAAGATCCCTCTGTTCCTCCACACAGCCAAGAATCCTGCCATTAACCCTGTATTCTGCATTCAAATTCGACCTTCCAAAATGAATCATGTTTTCTTTTCTTCAGCTGACTATTGCTGACAAGCTCAGCACTTATTGTCCATCCCTAGTTGTCCCTTGAGAAGGTGGTGATGAGCTGCCTTCTTGAACCACTGCAGTCTGTGTGCTGTAGGTAGACCCCACAGTGCCCTGAGAAAGGGAATTCCAGAATTTTGACCCAGTGACACCAAAGGAATGACAATATATTTCCAACTCAGGATGGTGAGTGGCTTGGAAGGGAGCTTGCAGGTGGTGGTGTTCCCATGTATCCACTGCCCTTGTCTTTCTAGGTGGTAAAGGTCATGGGTTTGGAAAGTGCAATCGAAGGAGCTTTTGTGAGTTGCTGCAGTGCACCTTGTAGACAGTACACACTGCTGCTACTGAGCATCAGTGTTGGAGAGAGTGAATGTCGAATGTGGTGAGTGGAGTGCCAAACAAATGGGTTACTTTGTCCTGAATGGTGTTGAACATCTTAAGTGATGAGAGTGTTGTAGCAATGTGGATAATATTGCTGCGCTAGCCATATTCGTCCACAGCTTTGCCACAAAGCCTGGTGTTGTGCAATGTGTCAGACAATTACTGCTCTGCTCTGTTTCCAGGGACGTTTCCTCAGTGGAGGTGCTGATGAATTACCACCAAGGTCTCCGAGGGGAGATTGAAGCCAGGCACAAGAAGCTCTCAGCTTGTATTGAACTGGGCAAAACATTGCTCACCAGTACCAACCAGACTTCCGATGAGGTAATGCACCACCACACTGACTATCTGCTGATGATACAAGGGGAGGCGATAGCCTAGTGGTATTATTGCTGGATTGTTAATTCAGAGACCCAGATAATGTTCTGGGGACTTGGGTTCGAATCCCACCACAGCAGATGGTGCAATTTGGATTCAATAAGTATCTGGAATTAAGAATCTAAAGATGACCATGAATCCATTGCTGATTGTCAGGAAGATCCCACCTGGTTCACTAATGCCCTTTAGGGAAGGAAATTGCCATCCTTACCTGGTCTGGCCTACATGTGGCTCCACACCCACAGCAATGTGGTTGACTCTTAACTGCCCTCTGGGCAATTAGAGATGGGCGATAAATGCAGCCTAGCCAGCAACGTCCCCATCCCGTGAATGAATAAAGAAAAAAGCACTATAAATGTTCAGCTTCACTCCCTGCCCTTCAGGGCCTCCTTTAAAGAGGGTTTGATTGTGTTAGAAACAGTTCAGAGAAAGTTCACTCTACTGTTTATTGGAACAGTAGGAAAGGTCAGACAGATTGCACTTTTACCCTTTAGAGTTTAAGAGGATGAAAGATGATCTTATTGAGACATACAGGTATTTCTCCTATAATGTGATAGTTGCCTTCCTGTGTGACCTCACGCTATAGAAAATTGCGTTGTAGGAAAATCGCGAGAGAAAATCACTATACCGTCCAGTAGAAAGTTTATGTTATTCAAGCAACATCCACTATTCATCAATTGCGTGAGAGCCAATTTGCGTTAACGAAACACGCTTTATAGCAGAACTACCTATTTGAGAATTCAAAGGAGATTTGACAGGATGGATGCTGACGGGCTGTTTCCACTTCATGGACGAGTCTAGAATTATAGGGCACAATTTAAAAAGTAGAAAACTCCCATTTCAAACTGAGATGAGAATTTCTCTTCTCTCTCAGAATCCTGTGGAATTCTCTTCTCCAAAAAGCAGTGGAGATCGGGCTGTTGAATATATGTGTGGGCGAGTGTGTGCGCGTGTGTAAGAGAACAAGTGTGTGAGAGAGAGCATGTGTATGTGTGTGGGTGAGAGAACATGTGTGTATGGATTAGAGAGCATGTGTGTATGTGTGTGAGAGAGCATGTGTGTATGTGTATGAGAGAGCATGTGAGTATGTTTGAGAGAGAGCATGTGTATATATGTGTGACAGAGCGTGTGTATATGTATGTGAGAGAAACAGCATATGTGTGTGTGTGAGAGAGACCGTGTGTGTGTCTGAGAGAGAGCGTGCGTGTGTGTGTGTGTGTGTGAGAGAGAGAGTGTGTGTGTGTGTGTGTGAGAGAGAGAGTGTGTGTGCGTGTGTGAGAGAGAGATTGTGTGTGCGTGTGTGAGAGAGAGATTGTGTGTGCGTGTGTGTGTGTGTGTGTGTGTGAGAGAGAGAGAGAGCGTGTGTGTGTGTGTGTGTGAGAGAGAGAGAGAGAGCGTGTGTGTGTGTGTGCGTGTGTGTGTGTGTGTGAGAGAGAGAGAGTGTGTGTGTGTGTGTGTGAGAGAGAGAGAGTGTGTGTGTGTGTGTGTGAGAGAGAGAGCGTGTGTGTGTGTGAGAGAGAGAGCGTGTGTGTGTGTGAGAGAGAACGTGTGTGTGTGTGTGTGTGTGTGAGAGAGAGAGGATGTGTGTGTGTG